AAACGAGTCTTACTTTCAATGAATATTGACTCCATCACAACAGGATGTGTTTATTACCTGAACTGTTGGGATGTGCTCCAAAAGGATCATCGTAATTGAATCTTAACTTCTGTAGTTCTGGAATAAAATTATTCAGAAGTTATTAACACGTTCACTGAGTTATCGGGTCGAATCGACCTCACGTGCTTCTATGTAGTTTTCGGTGCGGCGCAAATAATGCTCGCTAAATGCTGGTGAGGGATGGATATATTCGGACTTTTCAGTAATACGAAAGAAATAAACATTGTTAAATGCAATTGTCTCGTCAAACAGTAATAGTCCAGTCAATGAATGCTTTAACGACGGTGTAGAGAGAAATCCGTAGAACACAATTTCTGACCTCGGGACTTTATTTAGACTAGTTAGGAGGTGAACATAGCAAAAGTCCCCGCCCTTAGCCCTTGAGCCGGCAGGGAGAGGGGTGTTTAAAGGTACCACTTTTCGGTTTTTCGCTTAATCCTCGGAAACTATGCGTCCTAGTCTCATGACTACTATGAACCAAAAACAGCTTATTCAATTTGCTACAGGTGAGATAGTCAAGTTTTTCTATATCTTGTATAGTTTTCGCGGCATCTGCTCTAGAAGGTCTGTAATATTGGAAATTTTATCTTTGTCTTACATGTTCCCATCTGGAGAAAATCGACTAAATTAACATTGAGCTAATATTCTAGACATGCGGGAGCATATTAAGCCCAGTTTCAGGTAGGGGACTGCACCGTGCGTATATTAAGACGAACCACTTGGAGCCACTTTTGANTCTGTATCATGTTGGTTTTCAGAAATCACAACTGGATCCATGTGTGTATTACATGCATAGTGAAGGAAACACATTGTACTTAACTCTCTATGTCGATGACCTGCTCATGTTCTATAACAATGTAGAGTTTGCAAACAATATCAAGAGGAAAATAATACAAGAGTTTAAAATGAAGGAGTTGGGAAAAGCTAATCATTACATTGGAATACGGATTACATATGACAACAATGGAGTTTATACAGTGTGTCCGGGCTTGTAGTGATCAAACTTTAAGGGCGTAATCTATGGACAATTTTATCGATGAAAATTCTTCAAATTTGGGGCTTGACCCATTTCTCGCAAAATTACGAGGATTTAAGTTTTTAATTTTTAGTTTTCACCTCTTCCTTCAAAAACAAGTGAAAGCGTGGGTAGCTTAACACTAATAAGCAAAAATTTTATATCATGCGATAGCCAATAAAATTATCTATTAGCAGAAGTAGAAAACAGATNCTATTTAGTGTCATAATTTTGTAGCGGTTCATACAACACATATTCCCATCAAATTTCATCACTGTAGTACTTATAGTTTCCGAGTAAATCGGCTGTGACAGACGGACAGACGGACAGACGGACAGACGGACAGACGGACAGACGGACAGACGGACAGACGGACATGACGAAACTATAAGGGTTCCGTTTTTGCCATTTTGGCTACGGAACCCTAAAAACCACCTGTTATAGGGGCATTTTTTGGAGAAATTTATCAAATAACCAAAAAAACACGAATTTTTAAGCACATTTTTTTCAAAAAGTATCATTTTTTATTATTTGTTGGCATTTTTTGTGTATTTTATGTATTTTTTTAGTATCGCCTGTTATTTAGCATTATCGCTGTTTTTATTTTATTAGGATATACCGCTTAGTTTAAAAGTTATTACGTTTTCTTTATAATACGTAATTGGAAGAAAAAAAAATCTGTAAAAAATTAAAAAAAAATCTCAAAAATTTTTTGACCTCTTTTTTGTCGATAAAAATAGGTCTAGTTTCATCTATTTTCATATGTACACTTTAACGTGACTCACACTGTATATGACATCACAATCATATTCCTGAATTAAACTCCACCATCTTGCAACACGGGGTATCATGTCTTTTTTTTGAAAGGTTGCCCTCAGTGAGTTGCAGTCGGTAACTATAGTAAACTTTGATCCCAGAACATATGGCCTAAATCTCATTAATGAAGCTATAACCGCTAATGTCTCCAATTCATAAGACGAGTAGTGTGATTCTTCGGGAGAAGTTTGTCTGCTATAGTAAGCTATTGGTTTGAAACTAGAATCATTCTGTTTTTGCAGCAGTACGCCACCTATTCCATGTTTGCTCGCGTCTGTATGAATTTGAGTCTCAGCGGTCGGATCAAATAAAGCAAGTACAGGCCTAGAAGCTAATTTATTTTTAATTTCAGTAAATGCGCTTTCTTGTTCCACGCCCCATTCCCAGACAGCATTCTTTTTTAATAATTTTGTTAAGAGGCTTGGTAATCTGTGCAAAGTCTTTTATGAATTTTCTAAACATTAATTGATTATGCAATTCTAGATTTGTGATTGTTACACTATTGACATTTATTATTGTACAAAATTCTAATATTACTTAATTTAACTGACATTTGATATTGATTGTATTAATTTGTCTATGACATGTTTAAATGGATTGTTGTTTTGAAAAGTGCTGTTATTACTCGTACATAGTTTTTGCATGCCATAATATTGGTAAAATGTGAGTACTATAAATTATATTTTGTAATAATTGTAACACCTATGTCAACCACATTTTAAGCAAATAAATTTTATTATTATTATTATTATTATTATGTTTGTACGCTTTGGAGCTCACGGGTCAAAAGTGGCCCGGTCCTTTATAAGGCTTGCGTGGGGATACAGATCCAACACGTAGAGGCCGTTTTAAGCGTAAAATAATCGACAAAAGTGAAAGTGGTGCACATGCTGGATCTAGTCTCTGACTATATCATGGGATGTAGCCAGAGACCATCCCCAGCCTGTGCACAGGAACTATTGCAGTTATTGGAGAATGGACTAGGGTTATGGATGAAGGATGGAGGGACTGGTTACTGGGCTATGGATGGAGACTACGGGACACCTGCCTGGTTCATAGTCTCTGACTGAAAAAATGGCAGGCGGTGACTAGCCAGCGACTAAATGGGCCCCCCCTGGCGTCATGAGTCGTATAGACCGGACTGAGGGGCAACATTGGCGTCTGCCAGCTCAGGGGTGTAGAGAGGTGTGCTGCGCTTTCTCCGAGGTTACTCGCGGCGTTATGCCCTTTAACACTTCCACCCCTGGAGCATATAGCTCTAGCGACTCCACTCTGGCCAGCCGGTTAAGGCAAGCCAGAGGTGAAAGTCCTGCAGACCCTCTCGGATTCCACTTCGGCAAGCCGAAGACGAGGGCCTTGACCGACTCTCGGGAGCACTCGGATTAACAACTGGCCCCGTGGTGTCGCTACTCACCAACAGCTCGCCACAAAGCTGCCCTGCGGGGCTTTATTATTATTATTATTAAAGAAACTGGCTAGTCCAACTATCTGCCTAACGTTATGAACGTCTTTTGGAGTGGGAAAGTTGCTAACAGATTCTACCTTTCGTGCACCTGGCTTAATTCCAGCTCCTGAGACCTCAAAACCCAAGTAATCGACTTGCTTTTTGAAAAAATAACATTTTTGTGGTTTTAAAGTTAGACCTGAATTGCGAATTTTCTCGAAAATTGTGCGTAACCTCTCCAACCCCTGATCAAAAGATTCTGACGGAACTAGAATATCGTCCATATATGCTAGAGCTGAATCGAATCGTGAGTTACCCAATACCATATTGATTGCTCTTTGGAATACCGCAGGGGCGTTGGCAAGCCCGAACGGCATCCTATTAAATTCAAATTGACCGTCCGGAGTCACGAATGCAGTTTTGGGTTTTGATTCTTCGCTGATTGGTATCTGGTAATAGCCAGATGCAAGATCTAACGTACTAAAGTAATTATTACCCGCTAGTCTGTCTATCTGATCTTCAATGCGTGGGATGGGGTAATGTTGTTTTACTGTCTTATGTATACAGTGTGTCCGGGCATGTAGTGATCAAACTTTAAGGACGTAATCTATGGACAATTTTATCGATGAAATTACATCAAATTTGGGGCTTGACCCATTTATCGCAAAATTACAAGGATTTAAGTTTTTAATTTTTAGTTTTCACCTCTTCCTTCAAAAACAAGTGAAAGCGTGGGTAGCTTAACATTAATAAGCAAATATTTTATATCATACGATAGCCAATAAAATTATCTATTAGTAGAAGTAGAAAACAGACACAAGTTTCATACATTTTATGGGAGTAAGAATGGTTTTAATTAGAAAAATACATGACTTTTTTCACTTCTTTTTCAGTTATTTTCCAACACAAGAAAAACCAGGTCGCTAAGGTATGTTTTATTTGCATTGTATTATTAGTATTTGAGCTATTCTACAAAACGAATGTAAATTTATTAGTCTACCTCTATTAGTTTCGACGTAATTTTTGAACAAAGATACCCCTTCCCAGCGGTTTCCATAGTAATCGGAATAGGTTGTGTGATTCTTTCAGGCAGTACATTTTCGCATGTCGCGTGCGCTATGGAAACCGCTGGGAAGGGGTATCTTTATTCAACAATTACGTCGAAACTAATAGACGTAGACTAATAAATTTACATTCGTTTTGTAGAATAGCTCAAATACTAATAATACAATGCAAATAAAAAATACCTTAACGACCTGGTTTTTCTTGTGTTGGAAAATAACTGAAAAAGAAGTGAAAAAAGTCATGTTTTTTTCTAATTAAATCCATTCTTACTAACTTAAAATGTATGAAACTTGTATCTGTTTTCTACTTCTGCTAATAGGTAACTTTATTGGCTATCGCATGATATAAAATTTTTGCTTATTAGTGTTAAGCTACCCACGCTATCACTTGTTTTTGAAGGAAGAGGTGAAAACTTAAAATTCAAAACTTAAATCCTTGTAATTTTGCGAAAAATGGGTCAAGCCCCAAATTTGAAGTATTTTCATCGATAAAATGGTCCATAGATTACGCCCTTAAAGTTTGATCACTACATGCCCGGACACACTGTATAACACTTAAGCTCTGAAGTTCTGAACCATGTATAATAACCTTCTTTTTAAATTTGTCATCCATTAAGGTCTCGGAGTGAACTAGTCATAATGATTTAACTTCTAACTTGTCTTTCCAGACTTCCCTTGAACAATTTGGATCATTGTGACCTAATCTTGAGCACTTTTGACATTTAACGATGGGTTTCTTGCAATTATTAAACGTATGCCCTATTTCATGACAGTTAAAACATTTAGGCTGCCTATTGTTAAACTCTAATTTTGCTGGTTTACGATTAGTATCACTTGTTGGTCGTGTTAACCTTTTTGTTTTATCAAATTTTTCGTGTTTTATGCTTCTTAGATATCCTAATAGTTTGTCTGTGTCTTCAAAACCTACAGCTTCAGCACCATATCGGACTGACCTATCATCGATTCCAAAAACAATACAGTCAATTGCATTTTTACCATTAATACCACATCGGTTTAACGCTATTAACTTTTCATAATAGTATTCCTCCAAATCATCTCCGAACTTGGCCCTTATGTTGAGCATATCGGTAAGCAAACGCCCATAGTTTTCATAAACCGGAAAAGCTGACCTGAGTTTTTCCTGTCATTCTACCCAGGTATGCATTACTGTTGGTTGACCCTCGTACCACCGTTTGGCCGTACCCATTAGTTTAGGTAATGCATAATGAGCCGTTTGCTTGCCATCCCATCCGTAAATTTCTGCGCATTCGTTAACTTTATTTAACCAAGTTACAATGGTCTGATTTTTAACTTTAGGATCAAATTCTGGCACGACATTAATGGAAACAAACTTTTCTCTATTATGCGGATTTGCAGTTGAGATGGCTTGCAAAATTTTACCGAAATTATCTAACAATCCATCATTTATATTGTTTGAAGATGATAAGGGAACTTCCGGCTGAATATTATTTTTGTCTTTTTCATTGGGTGTGCCTTCACTTTCTTTATTACATTTCTTTACACTACCAAGATTAACTGGACTATTTACTCTACGATCATGCATGCCAGTAACGCTAGATCCCTTATTATGACCTTCCGATTGAGAAACAATTTTAGAATCGGATCGTCTCGATCTATATTCCCTAGGTGTGTTAGCACGACGTCTTTTAGATAAAGAAGTTGAGTCTGACCTTGACTTTGATCGGGATCGGTGCTCCGGTCTGGGTGTCTCCAACCGGTGCGATGCTCTGCTGCGATGCCGAGTGCGCCTGCTGCCGCTGAGAGGAGATCGGCGCCTCATCTTGGAGCGGGACCTCCGTCTTGCTGGAGGCCTCGATCGCGGCGTAACGGGAGATCGCGACCGCCGACTTGAGGTGGGCCGCGAGCGCCGGCTCGAGGCGGTCCGCCGACTCGAGGTGGGCCGCGACCGCCGACTGGAGTTGCGCCGCGTTCTTCTCTTCGCAACGGAACGGGACCGCCGCCGGTCTGCAACGGACCGCGATCGCCGCCTTGGCGTCGTACGCCGCTGCGGATCTCGTGACTGTCTCTCGCTTGGCATTGTAATTAGACAATGACCGAGTAAACTGTAAAATAAAATACAATTAGTATCTGAAGTATGTAAGCAAATAAATCCGAAGCAAGAATATCACTTGCTATTAATTTATTTCAGCACCTGTTATATGTATAAAAATAATTACTATGTATTATGTGTTAATTAAACTAATCAAGCATGATGTGGTTTTAATTATTTCATTGATTTACGTAACAACGACATTTATTTCTACCTGAATTATGGGAAACCAAAGTCAGCTAAATCCACTCGAGTATTTTATAATAATATGATACTTAGTTACACTATTACTAATATACTATAGTGACCTTGTCTATATTGAATATATAATATAAATTTTAATACGATCAATTTTCTAAAAGGATATTTTACCATGCAAACGGGTCACACAAAAGAAAGATACTGTAAACTAATTGTTTTTCACAATAGTAATAAAAAGTGACTAACCGTAAATTTTCGGTTTTTTATTTAAACAAACCTGTACCGAACAGCACGACGTATTCGTTCCACTTCTGAAGTTATTAAATTCCACGTAGATAAATGAAACTGCCAGCACTTTCCACAGTAATACAGTTTATTGCAATAGTGTCTCAATATTACAATTATTATCACTTCACATCACATCACATCACAACGGACATAATCACGGCATTAGTTGCTCATTGGACCGTACTGCTCGAGCGCTCGAAGAGAACTGACTATTTTATCAACTTTCGACTATCCACTTTGACCGAGAACGATCGAGCGAACGAAATGTTGATTTTAGTCAAATGAGCAACTTTTTAAAATAATATTATTTGCCACAAATACTCAAATTACTTCCGTTATTTAAAATTACAATAATAATTAAATAAAAATATTTAAATGTATAATTATGTAATATTATATTAAAATAAAATGTTAAATCAAATGAGTAGCTTTTAATTAAATCAAAATTATGCAGTTTGTGACAATTCAAAGAAAATACGATTTCATTAAAATAAAAATTACATTATAAGTCTGAATAATCTAGCACTTGACATAGCAAAGCAAACACAGTTGCAATTAATTGACATGTTACAAGGTGCTGGAATCAACTTACTAAAGTGGTCCAGCAACTCATCCGAGCTACTAGAGCACCCATCTGATGAACAACTAAACCCAAGTGTGGTAAACTTTAAACATGCAGAGTCTACAACAACATTAGGGCTTAGATGGGAACCGACTACGGACTCATTTAAGTTCCGAAGTAAACTTGATCATGACATTGACATACCGGTCCTGCCTAAATATACCTCATCTCTTAACGATATGATAAACACCTCCATGAACGAAAAGGTGCTAGATAACCTGGAGGATCATGATCAGTTATTTGATGAAATAAACAAAAGGATAGAAGTGCTGAAATCGCAAGATTTACAACTGCTACAGAACAGCAGTGTCACACACTATTCTACTATTTACGCTATACTGGCGATGCTGATAGTCGTCGTCGTCATTTACATCGGCTGCAAACTGAAGGGCCGGTGCGTGTTGGCGAGCTGGCGGGACAGAGGCGCGCAGGAAGAGCGCCCTGTCATCCTCGAGTTGCGAAACAGATGTTGGTTTTTAAANTCGCAATTCATGGTGAGTAAACGCGCATCCAATAGTATGCTTTGATGGCAACTCGCACTCGCGCGCAAACTGTCTTCGGTGCGTTTGAAGTCAACTCGGTATACGCGATCGTAAAGTCATTCGGACAGACATAACAACTTACCTACATCGTGTCACATATCTCTTTTGGAACTGACAGGACAGGAAAAGAATGATCAAAGGTTTGTATCTTTCTCATTTATGTATGTCTCTAAACTAAACTGAGATGGTGAGCTATACTAATTATTGTTAGGATGGCAAAATAAAATAGTATTAAACATTACTTATTTTTCTTTACAGAGAAAACCCCAGTAGCCAGATGAAACCTTGAGCAGCCAAATTGGAACTATAATCATTTTATTGTACTTATTATTAGNAGTGCCCACAGACTGAGGAGGTACACACACAGTCCCTAGGCTAGTGCCCACAGACTGAGGAGGTACACACACAGTCCCTAGCCTAGTGCCCACAGACTGAGGAGGTACACACACAGTCCCTAGGCTAGTGCCCACAGACTGAGGAGGTACACACACAGTCCCTAGGCTAGTGCCCACAGACTGAGGAGGTACACACACAGTCCCTAGGCTAGTGCCCACAGACTGAGGAGAACGACGAGGCGCTGTAGCGCGCTGGCATCACTTCTGTAGACAGTTGTGCGTTGCAAATGCGACTATCATGCGTTAGTAGCGATGCTATCATCGTGGGCGAGGGCCCTTAGTACTTAAATCCGCTCAGTAATTCATGATATTTTGTCAACTGTCATTTGACAGGGTAAGGCAAGCCATTCTCGCTTCAATTTTCTTTATGACAGAGTATCGATTGATCAATATGCGACTGTGCTTTATTCTCGAGATAAACATGACTGTATTTCTTCCGCCACTTCTTCTCAGCACCAGCCAATGTGTTGTCCTGAAGTGGTGGTAGAGAAAGCTATATTGGGACGTGTATTGGTGCCCTGAAAAGGACTTAGTGGTAATAAACAATATGAATTTGTTTATCCTCAGCGCGCGTGCAATCGCAGCCGTCGTTCAGCCAGCAAATGCGGCGCGGGCGCGGCCGCGTGCTGGGCGCTGCTGGGCCGCCTGCAGCGCCTGCAGCCCGACGTGGAGCGCGCGCTCGCGCCCGCGCCGCCCGCCGCCTACACCGCCACCGTCAACACCTGCCAGCTGCACGTGAGTGGACACTAAAGCCTGGTCCGTGAGCACGTAGAATCCCGTCCAATGACCCCAAGCTACCCATCCTTGTCGCTCGCACGTAATTATTTTGCTGTTGCGCTCGCACACTCACTGCGGGCGCCCGTCGCACAGTCGCGACAGCAATATAATTACGCGCGAGCGATAAGGATGGGTAACTTGGGGTCATTGGACGGGATTCTACGTGCTCACGGACCAGGCTTTAGACAGCTGAGGGGCTGCAGGCGGACACGCGGCGTGCTGGGCGCTGCTGGGCCATGGCAATCGACCATAGATAGGCTGTATCTGGTGCTTGCAAATCATGTTCGCGATCTTTCTCAAGTCATCCATAGCGCACGCCTGAACCTTTTGAACATTATGTCATTTGATTCCCAAAGCAGTAGTGGTAGGTTCAGATGTTGAAAAAGTGATGAGATAAATTGTGTAAATAGCTCGGGCTGCCTTGAGCACACGTATCTCGACCAAGTACCGCTCGACTAGGAGTCATATTCTCGGCTTTTGTCGATGCTCAAAAGCTCTGCTCTGAGCTTCTCATGGGGTGTTTGGTTAGGAAGTCCGAGCTTGCCTCACGTCGTGCTCAGGCGATCTGGAGATAGCTAATGTAGTGAATGATAAATGACAAAGTTTTTCGTTTCTAGTGCCTAAAATCCCTGGAGGAATGGGTGGAAGGCGTCCGCAATGACAGTGCAGCGGGAGCAGTGGACGGCACCGTGCACCAGCTGGCCGCCGCCACGCTGGCGCACTGCCACCAGCTGGCACAGTATCTGCATACCATCGGTAAGTGGAGGGTTTGCAGGAGAGGTGGAACACCTATGAAAGCGGCTGCAGACGCTGTAGGATATTTAGGAGGTCTACAAGAGAGGTGGGGGCTGCAGAAGAGGTGCTTCAGAAAAGATATTAGCTCGTCACTACGTTTAATATACCAAGCAATTTTGTATACCCATTCTTATAAGATACACCATACAAGAATGCGTGGTAAATTCAGTGAACTGCTCCTGAATCAAATGTACCTACTACTGATTTTTCTATTTATTTATATTAACCGGCAGACAGTGGTGACTGAGTTTGTTGCGGCGCTTCTTCTCAGCACTTGCCAAATGTTGGTCTCGAAGCGCTGGTAGGGTAAAAAGATTATGAGACATGTAGAGGCTCCTTAAGAGCAAAATATTTGACGATTTGTAAGAAATTTTGACTTTGACTTTAAGAAAGGGATCTGCAGGAGAGACAGGAGACCTCCAGGAGAAGTTGGGGGATACCCTGTGTTGTCTTCAATTACAAAATGAGAACTGCTTTTGTGGTCTACTATTGCGCTGTCCAGTTCTGCCTAGTGTTCGTTAAGAATAACCATCAATTTTCATAATAGATCTATGACAAGATAATTGTAAAAGTGGTTTATCTCCAGGCCCGGCTCTGGCCACAGACGCGGCGTACGCGCGCGCCGCATCGCAGCTACCCGGAAGCCACGACCGAAATGCTGCGTTGCTAGCCATCTACATGCGTAAGTATTATTTTCTATCCTAAGTATTATCAGGCCTGTTCATCTCCGCGAGTTAGTTTAGATGGCCCACCTACAGGATACATTCGACAAGGCCTCACAAACGAGCGAACATTGACTCACGTACGCGTATTTGTGTATGATGGAAGAAAATAAAAAAAATGGTGTACTAAATACTGTGCAGTATTTAACTGCCTAAATAATAATAAAAACACAGAATATACTTTTTTAAGTTGCCTCAACAAACTGAGAGGTAAATAAGTAGTTAATATTATTCATGATAAATCATGTATTTCCTCCGC